ACGTTGATGTTTAGCCCAAAATGAATCTTCAACTGATTTATCTCCTCGACGAATATAGAGACCAGCAAGTTTATCAAATACATTTTTATCTCGTGGAACGGAGTATTTATCAATTAAATAACTTGACCAATGTTGAGTTAATATTTTTGTACTAATTTCAATACGTGGAGCATTTTGTGAATAAAAATATAAAACAAACATATAACGAAGAAATGAACCAAAGACATAATCTTGCCAAGTTAATTTAGTAAGATTTTTGTTTACAAGATCAGAAGAAAATGCATCGGGTTTATTAGTATTAATCCAATCACCAATTGAAACATTTTTTTCATTATTATAACCGTAAATATGTTCATCGGAGTGATCAGAAAGAATTTCAACGGGAGATTCATATGAAACTCGTGGTTTTTTTCGATCAAATAACCATTTTCGTATAGGTACATGATGATAATCCATTTTCCAAAATTCATTTGATATTAATGGACGATCTACTTTATTACTTCTATATTCAAGTAAGTCAATTGTACGTGTAATTTGTTGTACTTCTACATCACTTTGAATAAGTTTCGTTAAATCACTCATGTCTGGATGATTTTCATATGCTGTACAGATTGACATCGGAAGAAAATAACGTTTAATACCCAGACCTAAAAAATCATCTTGTTGTCCACGTTCAACTGAAAATCGAGTCCCACGAAATACAGCAATACGTGGACTGTAGAGAGTTTGACCAAATTGAGCTATGAAACAAAGAACTCGACTAAAAAATCCTGACCAATGTTGATGTAAAATAAATATTGATTGTTTACGGCATAAATTTAAAACTTCATTTTTAGTTACCGACCAATCTCCAATTTTATCAAGATTAGGAAATTGTTTTTGTGTAAGATAATTGATCATACCATTTTCAGCAGCTTTATTCCATCGAACATCACCATATTTATCAAGCCATAAAATAGGTGCAGACGATTCACGAAATGATGTATCATTGTAAGATAAAGGCTTTGTTATGTATTCACGTTTAACTGCTGGTTGACTAAGTTCCGATGGCAAAATCCTATAATAAATTGTTCATAGGAATAGAAAAAAAATGAAAGTTTGTACTTAAAAAGTACTTTTTTGTTTTTTTTTCTTATTTAAATAAGAGAAAAATTTCCGTATGTAAATAATAGATCTTGTAAAAACAAGAGAAATATTAACGAAGACTAGAAATTTTTATTAGTAGAAATAATATTCTAATGATTTGTGGTTTACCTAAGTGGATAAAATTGTAATTGACCAATTTCATTATGCATGGGCATGTCTGTAAATTTTGATTGAGAATGTAATGATTGTTCATTTTGTGATGGAGATAATGATGAATGAACTATTACTTGATCCGTTTCATAAGATAAATTATTTGAAGATAGCCATCGTGAAAAAATAAAATATGTAGTAGTTGCAAAAAGAACTAGAATTATAAGGCCACGAACAGGCGAAATACGAACCAACATAATCAATCAATCGTGTGACTTGAAGAAATAAAATTTACTTCATTCTGTTACATAAAGTAAAATTCAAGAGAAGAAGAAAAAAATTTGATGTGTTTTTTTTTTCTTGTTTTCCTTCTCAACAGCAAATGTCATGTGTTGAACAAGAGAAAATTTATATTGACATAGCAACATCAACTATATTTACCATTAACCAATAGAAAATCAAAATTTCTTGGTAATATTATTAATAATAACTGTGTCGTGAATAAATGTTTTCCCTTCTCAAATATTAATCTCAATTCAAATTCTATGAAGTGTTTAGATCCTGTAAAAGACCTTTAGTAATAGAGCTAGAGTAAAAATTTAAGTTTTATACTAAGACGTTTAGTTGAGATACTGTTTTTTTTACTAAACAAAAATCAAAAATAACTGATTTGTTAGTTCGAATATCTCTGTTTAAACTAGAAGAATTTCCAATTGTATGGTTGATATTATATATGAATACAGAAACACAAAGAAAGATACTCAATGTCATTTATCAGAAATTAGATACTCAAGGACAAACTTATATTGTTTTCAAAAGAACAGAGTTGAATTTATTGTTGCACACATATACCTTCATCTCAATATTTCTTCTACAAAAAAATATACAAATATTTTCATTTTGTCTATAATCTGCTTGCGCCTATTGAATTAACAAGGATTTTTTTACAACTATTCATGTATTAAATTTCTATTAGCAATAGGAAATAGTATTTATTTTTTTGTTTCTTGTTATAAATTTATTTAAAGATTTTTTTCCTTTATTTAATAAAACTCAAATAAAAAAATATAATTTACAAAGACATTTATTGTAAGTAACTCAAAAACGATATTTTATTATAGGAAAATTCTTCGAAAGTGTCAACTAGATCAGGTACCGATTGTCTACAACTGAGAATTTGATGGACCATCATTTTAGAATTAAAATAATAAAAATTATATTTACATTTCTTTTTATTGCAAAATGATCATTATATATTACCTAAAGACAGTTCTTATCGATATATTATTGTATGATATTAGCTGAACGATCCCAGGTCAATCAATCAGATAACAAGATCATACGAAAAATCTGACGCAAAATCGTCGTTCCTGATTTCTTACGTTAATTCTTTAAATAGGTTTCGTATCAGAACTGAGAAACTGATCTTATTTGCTCATATCTGCTCTTCACACAATATCATACAAGAATCTGCGATTGATCTTACTGTCAGATTGATTGACATGGCAATTTTACTCATAAAAAACGCAGTTTTCATTTAACACTAACATGAATAAAATACGAATCACCAACGTAAGAAGTAATAGAAAGTCTAAAATCAATAAATGACAGATACTCATTTTGCTACCAGACGACAGAAGTATCCTTCATTATATCTATATATATATTTTCACTATAAAGCACTAAAACAAACGTATAAATATATCTATATAGATATAGATATATGGAAGGAGAACAAAGATCTAAAGATATCTATATAGAAATATAGGAGTGAAACAAAGATTTTATCTTAATTATGATTAACATCTGTATTTAAGCTGGTATGGTGCAAAAAGTTCATTGTCTTTACCGTGTTATATCTCAAAAAAAACCACAGCGGTTTCTTACAGCCTATTATAATTGAATTTTTACGGATCTAAAAGTTTTGGTAGAAGACAAGAAATTAAGATTTTATTTGTTATTAGCTTAGCTTAAATTTTTTTTGATTATTTGTAATAGTAATAAAGACTACACCATAGTGTTAGGATAGTCTAATATCATAAAATAAACCAAAATGAACAGAGATTTTGATAATCAATGAATGTATAAAAGAACGCTGAACTTTCCCGAAGTAGATTAAACTCTTAGTAAATATTCAAAATCCTTTTTTGTAGAAGTTCATGTGTTGCAATATCTGTTAATAAAAACAAATGTTTTTTTCTCTATTTGTAATTTCTAATCAGCGATAAATTTTGCTTTAATTTGACGCATACGCATTTTATAGGCAAATGTAAAAAGTTTTTAAAGAGGTCGTTGCAATATAGTATCGATCTTTTCTCGCTTCAATGTATTATACACAAATTTCAGAGATAAATTAGTGATTTAACGATGTTTACTTATTAAGTTTAATTTCGTTTTATTACCTCATTACTGTGAAGCATTAGCTTTGGCAGTGCCATTTCATCCATTGTATACTATATATATCACAATGAAACCATTATATTAGTAATTGTCGAATAAAA